AAGAAATAAAGGTCCATCGCCTCCAAAGTTTCAGGGGTTAGTTGTCATTATAAAAGATGCTTATAAGCAAAAAATTTTAAAACTGGGGTCTTTTTTGTCTGATTTAGACAGGGGGAACAGATTATAGCAGGTGGCCTGCTTTAATTTGTTCCCCCCTTATAACTTGAAGAAATAAAAGTCCATCACTTCCAAAGTTTCAGGAATGTATTGTCATCATAAAAGATGCTTATAAGCAAAAAATGGAAAAACTGGGACCTTTTTGTCTGTTATAGACAGGGGGAACCGATTACAGCAGGTTTTATTTCAATTCTGGCAATATGGGATGAAATAAAACGGCTGATGTTAGAACACAAACTGTTTATTAAGGATAATACAACATAGATAAATTGTAAGTTAACATAAAACACAAATATAGATTTAAGTACTAAATTTCAACCAGGAAATTTCCTTCTGCATATAGTCTTTAATGATTACACGTGCACTCCATTTTCTATTTCATTTTTATTACAAGTATATGGTTTACAACAGTTTTCAATGGGATGACAACATTTGGACACTGTGAAACAATGACAGATTTTTTTAGAAACGTGTGGAAAAGAACAAGGATCTGTTTGCTTTCAGAGGGAGGAGTAGACACTGCTATCAGCGACCAGCTTTCAAGCAAATGTTTGTGTTTTATTAGTTTTAGATCAATATCACTGGCGATATTCTGCTATAACATGTGAAGTAAAGAATAAAACAGTAAAGCTCAACTTTCATACACGTAAAACCTTTCAAATTTCAAGTTCTGCACGTTAGAATTGAGGCGGAGTTAACACGGCTTGTTCTTCCTACTCCGTGCGCACTCCCGACGAGGAAATTTTCGCAGGGATAACTACCTTGGCACGACACTTTCTAGCAAGGATGACCATGTTATGATCAGTACAGCCTATTGGTATTGACACGGCTTTTGTGTAATAAAAATTTACTGAGAGGTAAATATGATCTATACAGGTAGATGTGCTTACACCCCTATTGTTTGTACTAATGCGCGTAAGCTCTCACCATTTGCTTTAAACATGCATTACTTTTGTTAGTCAGGTGACTTTTTAATGGACACTTTTTATCCAGCCAATCAATGTTTAAGTCCCCTGTGAAAACAACTTCCATATTAAGGTCACACACCTTGTTTAACATTCTACCAATATTTTCCAAATAATTAATATTAAAGGATGGAGATCTATAACAACATCCTATTAGAATAGGCTTTATATGAGGGACGCCGACTTGAAGCCATAAGACCTCGAGATCATTTCACATGATATTTTCACTTATTTTTACAGGTATGTTGCTTTGAATGTAAAAGGTTACACCTCCACCATATTGATTTCTATCTTTTCTGAACAAACTGTACCCAGATATGCTTAATTCTTAATTATCAAATTAGCCATCTGAGTCTCTGACAGAGCGAGAACATTAATGTTATTAATATTCAGAATATTTTGTATTTCATGCACTTTGGGCCGGATCTATCAAAGGTTTGCGTGTATTAAAACGTGAGCTATTTCACTGCGCACGCTAAAAAATGTACAAACTGATCTATCAACAGCGTGCTAAAAGGATTTGGTCTTTAAAACGTGCTAAATAGCGCCTCTTATCCATTTGGTACTTTTTCTGCAATGAATATGCAATATGGGGCGTTTACACGCAAAATTGCGTCTTGTGGGAGGAGAACATGTAAATATATTAATTTAGCGCTCGCAAAGTGATTTATCAAACCTGAAAGCAATTTTGCTAACGGTATCTGACTCTATATTTAACACGTTTCAAAAGAAGGTGCAAATGGTCTGTATGCGTAATTGCGCATACATGGCAGCGGTTATTGTCGCAAGAAGGAGACATTGAAATGAAGCAAGGAGACGCAGAGAACGCTTTTTTTCACTCCGTGTGAATATTTGTGGAATGAAGGAGGAAACGATCATCAAAACATTTCGTTTATCCAGCATTGCCATTTTGGAGCTGTTGGGGGAACTCCGAATGGATTTGGAGCCAGCCACAAGGAGGACCCACGCGATACCAGATATCACAAAACTCCTTGCAACGTTGCACTTTTTTGCATCTGGGTCATTCAAGCGTACGGTTGCAGCGAGAGCTGGGATCTCCCAATCTAGTTTTTCAAAAGTGCTGTCCGACGTTCTAAATGCCATGTCGCCCTGACGCCCTACCGGAGAGAACCCCGACCTCCCGCCTTGCGCCTGTGGAGCAACATGCCAATGCTGCAGGGATGCATACGCGCAGTCATCTTATCAACAGTCACTTCTTGTGAGCCATTTGGTATGTGCATTTTTCTACAGGCCGATACAAAACACCTGGGTTTTTTTTTTGTTCTTTTTTTTTTTACTGCGGTGAAGTAGAAATTCAGCCACATACCACCTTAGGGAATAAAGGTTGCCAAAGTTTATATATATATATATATATATTTCTTTTTTTGGAGGGGGTGGGAGGGTCACTGTAAGATTAAAATTTCTTAATGCACTAGTTTGCACAAACTACAAACTACTTTGCCGCAAACCACAAAACGCGCAAAACCATCATTTAAATAGGGAGTCTCCAACAGTTTTGCACCTGCCACTAGTTACGCAATCGCTCTTGTTAAATCACCCGCAAATCATGGTTCAGCCCCTCGCGCAAAATTCCAGTTTGCGAGCGCAAATTACTGCACGCAAAATTGGATCTTGATAAATCCGGCCCTTTGTTTCTCAAGATACATATGTTTAGGTGAGCAACTTTTAGGCTTTTATTTGGAAAATTGGCCATACTAGGTATCAGCCATGATATTCTAACTGCAGATATTTTCTAGTCCTTTAGTGTTTTTTGTGTACAATCAGCCTGTCATACCTTAAAAAGGCAATGTCCCCTCTTTCTCTAGGGGCTTTCATTTGGGGGACCAGTTCTTTTCTGAGACAGGATAATCTTCATTTATGAAGTAGTTTGATCCTTTCAGCTTCTTCGAGCTGTGTAACACAGCATTTCTGTCCCTAAACCTTCAAAATTTCACCATATTGGTCGAGCTCGGGGTTTTGTATCTTGTGTCTTTTTGTCTAGTTTTCCAAGAAGCTGTAATTTTTCAATGCCTATGCTGTTGGGATCCAGATCCAGTTTTTCTTTAAAGAAAGCCAGCACCTTATTTTCAGAATCGAGTGATTTTTCACGATCTTCCTTATGACATTTTTAAGTCTGGCTTGAGAATCTAAAGCATCTAAATTGCCATCAATAATGATCATTAATTTGGCCAGCTTATGTATGTCTTCTTGAGTAGTTTTGCAATGGGATGACAGTTGTGTTAAGAGCTTTCAAATCATCTACTTCCTTTTGTGTGTACTGTAGACTAGTTTTTAATTCCTGTATATCGTTTAGAATAGCATCCACAGTTTGTACTATCCAACAAAACACTCAAACAAGCCTTGAAGTTACTTTCCTGCTGCTGAAGCATTTCCTTATAAAAAGTTTTCTGTTGCTTCATTAATTCACAAACTTGTACATATGAGACGTAATGTGTGTTGTCCTGTCAACTTTGCAGAATAACTCTCACCCTTTTGAGCTTTTTCAGGTTTTTCAGTGTCCATGTGAGCTTTGAGATCTCCAGCACCTTTATTAGACACTGAAACTAATGAGCCAGCTTTGCAAATGGAGGAGCGACTGGAAAGACTGGAGAAGACAGAAGGTGAATGCCATTAATTTTACAGCTTTAGTTTGGCTGAAAATATCAGAGAAAACATGGAAAAAGATTCTTTCTAATTTACATGAAACCATATAAAAAACACATTTTTAAAATCCATGAGGTTTTTATAGCTGCTCGTTTATCAATTTAGAAGTGATTACAATAATTAAAAACATGCAGACACAGCAGAATATAATCCATAAAATCAATTGTATAAAATAGGTGATAGTTACTTTCAATCATAACAGGTAAATAGAACACCTACAGAATCAAGAACAAAACTATTAGAATTAGTTCAAAGGAAAATTATACTTTCAAAAAATCTTTAAAAAGCAGAAACTTCACACTTCTAGAGGAGAGTCAGATTTCTTTAATACATTATTAAGACAAAGGCTTTTTACCAAGTTAAAGCAGGTTCAAACTGATCAGTAAAAATAACATCATCATCATCATCATCATCATCAATCCTGTTTATCTTTTTAAACAAACATGTTTCATCATTTTAGGACTTTAATTTACCTGAACTACAGACTCCAGCCTCTAAACTGAGTTCTTTGATGTCCCGTAGTTTAACCCCATAATCCCAGCACCCCCTTTCAAGGTGGCTGGAGCTACTTTGCAACATTAATTAGCTTGTAGCTGACTAACTCTGAGACTGACACACACTTATATATGTCCCAAATCTTCATCTGAGACTCCTCTATAGATGATCTACTTCATTCTAATATCCATTGACCATAGCTCTAACACTGGGCCAAATAAAGTTGGAGTGTTGGTGGGCCTGGTTTCAACAACACACGTAGCAGGGCTGATTGATGCATTGCTAATGAAAGCCAACAAGACACTGAATTAGCTAAACTCCGATCATTTGCAGCTGATCTCTTAGAAAATCCTCCAAAAACATCCGCTAAACTGAGCAAAGCACATTAAATCTGTCTTAGCTTTGCTTTTATTTTCATCTGAGGATATCTTCATCAGAATAAAAATCTGTTTCTGGAATATATCCAGCAGAACGCTTATCATTCAACTAAAAGTTTATTAGTGTAAAAAATAAAACTGGAGATTTTTTTCTTAATAAATTCATTCAGAAAAAGATGTGCAACACCATGCCAAAGTTGCACAGTATGGGTCTGCCTTGATTTTATTTTTTTTCCAATTTAAACTTATCAATTGCTTCTTCTATGTACAGCAAACTTGCTTCATCTGTAAGCAAGATGTTGTCGTTGCACTTTATTATGGTTATTCCCCTCATTAGAGAATAAATAAGAAATCATAAACATTTTTGGCCATTTAAATCTAATTTACTCAGGTCCAAAATAATTAACTTTCAAATGTTCACTTCCAAATATTCACCCAGGACCTACGTATTTACCAGATTTACTATATAACACCTTATCAGTTCTGGTTTCTATGTAAACAGAGTTGTTAATTAATGGCTTTCTCAAAATTTGTTTTAAAAAAAGGACTTTGACCCATGAGTGTCTAATGTAATGAGGTGAAGGAGTTTCTAGATGGAAATTTTATCACCAGTCAAACGTGGTAAACACCTCTACTGTTCATTCCTGTGGCATCTCACTGCTGTGACTTATTCAAAAGGCTTCTCACCAGTGTGAATTCTGAAGTGTCTATCAAGATGAGATTTGTTAGTGAAGCTTTTTCCACAGGACAGACATTCAAAAGGCTTCTCACCAGTGTGAATTCTCATGTGAGAAGTCAAATTACTCTTTTGATTAAATTTATTGTTACAAATGGTACAGGAAAAAGGCTTCTCGCCAGTGTGCATTCTGATGTGTCTATCAAGACTAGATTTGACAGTGAAGCTTTTTCCACAGGACAGACATTCAAAAGGCTTCACACCTGTGTGAATTCTCATGTGAGAAGTCAAATGACTCTTTTGAGTAAATTTATTGTTACAAATGGTACAGTAAAGAGGCGTCTCACCAGTGTGAATTCTGATGTGTTTATCGAGATAAGATTTGTCAGTGAAGCTTTTTCCACAGGACAGACATTCAAAAGGCTTCTCACCAGTGTGAATTCTCATATGAGTAGTCAAACTACTATTTCGATAAAATTTATTGTTACAAATGGTACAGGAAAAAGGCTTCTCACCAGTGTGAATTCTGATGTGTTTATCAAGACTAGATTTGTCAGTGAAGCTTTTTCCACAGGACAGACATTCAAAAGGCTTCTCACCAGTGTGAATTCTCATGTGAGAAGTCAAACTACTCTTATGATTAAATTTATTGTTACAAATGGTACAGGAAAAAGGCTTCTCACCAGTGTGAATTCTGATGTGTCTATCAAAACGATATTTGTCAGGGAAGCTTTTTCCACAGGACAGACATTTAAAAGGCTTCTCACCAGTGTGAATTCTCATGTGTCTATCAAAACGATATTTGTCAGGGAAGCTTTTTCCACAGGACAGACATTCAAAAGGCTTCTTACCTATGTGAATTCTCATGTGAGAAGTCAAACTACTCTTTTGAATAAATGTATAGTTACAAATGGTACAGGAAAAAGGCTTCTCATCAGTGTGAATTCTCATGTGTTTATCAAGATCAGATTTGTAAGTGAAGCTTTTTCCACAGGATAGACATTCAAAACGCTTCTGACCTGTGTGAATTCTCATGTGAACCATTAAATGCTTCTTTTTAAGAAAGTTTTCTCCACATGTCAAACATGGGAAATGTTTCTTTCTTGTATCTTTAATCTCTTGCTTAAGAAGAAGGTGCTCTTTCTGCTCACTTATGGGGAGCTCCATGGTTTCCTCTTTTGTCCAGGGATGTTCTGGCTTTTGATGCTCTTCTTTTATCTGTGGATGTTCCGACTCCTCTTGGTCCAAACTGGATTTCCTCTCCTGTCCACAAAGCTGCTGGTCAGAGAAATCCTCCTCTTTTCCAACATAATCCTGCAGGCGGTCTGGAAAGACAAACACAGCAAAAAGGCATTCTATTGGTGGTTAAATAAAGGACACCTCACATAAAAGCACCAAACTCTCTCCTTGAGGTTGAGGAGTGAGTGGATCCTATCAAGCAACCTGAAGATATGAAGTTCATTCTGGCCTAAATTTATTTTCCCACAAACAATTATTAAGGAAAGTAAAGCATATACATCCAACACCACATTGACTGTCTGGCAAATGAGGAAGTAGTGAGACACCCTAAACTCAGCAGTGCTTGCTATACACCTCTGCCTGGAAGAGACAGACCCCAGCTCAATGTGTCAGAGGTTGAGCAGATTTCCAAAAATGTTCTAATGAAATTTCTCACTTCTATCGTATCAAAAAAGCCATTATGGTAAGAAAGAGAAAAACAGGCCTAAGTGACAAAGCTTTGTGGAGCAGCTTCCCAATTTTTTCCCTAAAATGTTGCAATCAGCAGGGCAAAAGGGCTATGTTGTTTTGTTCTCTAAAAATGGTTTGAAATCATAAAATGAAGCGAGAACAGTTATAAAAAGATCACAGTGAAAGAAGAATTCAGGTATTGATCAGTCTAGACTGTTCTGAAGGCAGAAAGGCCTGCAAGGCCTGGATAATGAGGTGATCACCTTCAGTCCCTTACATGGAAATGCAGTATCCCTTTCTGGACACGTCAAAACAGCCAAGTTCTGTTCATCTGATAACTTATCTGGGTTCCCCATCACAGAAGAGCAAAGTAACTCAGCCGTATCACTCAAGAGGAGGATACTTGATTTCTCTGCAGAAAAAAAAGACATTTGACCAAACCAACTGAAGATGCTCTGAAGAAAAGAAAAACTAATTTGACCAGACCAATTGTAGAAACTCCAATAGACGGCATAAAGGAGGACTCTGCTGGTTGAACCATATTAATAATGATTTTTTAATTTGAGCTTTTCCTTGAGTCTCGCTGCTTTCTCTGCTCTGTCAGTGAGTTTACTCATAAAATGTCATCACACATTAGCATATGTGTGGAAAGAACATTTTCTGAGTGATCAATTTCCTGATGGTATCCTGTAGAGAGGAACAACAATGTGTGTTGATTCTGTAAAATAAAATAGGAGGTTATTAGGGATTGTCTGAAGCTAAACCCATTAATGATCCTCCTTGGAATACTGATGACCAGTATTCCAAGATCCAATAGTATAAGGGTAGGATCCATCATGAATTGTCACAACTGATATTTTCATGGCCTCAGATAATGGACTTGTATCTGTATGTGTCCTGTTAGATCTCAGTGCTGCATTTGATACAGTTGATCAAAATATTCTCTTAGAAAGACTTGAACATTTTGTAGGAATTAAAGGAACAGCGCTAGACTGGTTTAAATCTTATCTGATCAATTTCAGTTTGTTCACGTAAATGACAAATCTTCCTCATGCTCCTGGGTTACATGTGGGATCAGTGCTAGGACCGCTCTCTTCACTATATATGCTCCCGATCGGTAGAATTATTATTATAGGATGTTTTCTCATCATGGAATCTTTTTCTTACCAACATGCTGGAGTACTTTTAATCTGTGGTCCCTTATTGACGAATGGAGTATAAACAATTGAAGATTGGATTTATAAAATGACTTCTGGAGGCCTACAAAGGTATGTGATTGTGGCTGCTTTGTTTACATTGTGACATGCTGCTACATCTGTTTTGTGCTTTGGTGCTTGCTGTGTCCATAAAATGATCTTGGTGGTTGAATTGCAGAGAATCTAAGCTTTCCAATGATGTCCAACATGTCTATATTGGTAAAAATTTTACCAGTTCAATTTTATGCATTCTGAGTTATCACCCCACTTAACATCCACCGTTTCGCTGGCAACGCGGTGGTTTTGATGAGGTTAATGCTAAAACTTGAACTTAAAGTGTATTACATGATGAGACCAATAACAATTTTTTTAAAGACAGAAATGTTTAAGCCATATTCAATTAAATTCAGTTTATTTATATAGCATCAGTTCACATCATGTCATCTCAAGGCACTTTACAATTCAACCAGATCATACAGTCATATTGATTCAAAGTTTTCTATCTAAGGAAAACCAGTTGATTGCATTGACTCATTGACTGGAATGCTTGTAGTGACAGTACAGAGGAAAAACTCCCTTTTAACAGCAAGAAACTGCCAGCAGAAACATACTCAATGTGAGCGGCCATCTGCCAAGGCCGACTTTCAAGGAGAAAGAAGCAGACGTAGAAAAAGAAGCAGAAATACAAAAGGCAACTGTAAACCAGTTCCCGTCCAGGAAACACACAGCCAGTCATACGAGATCCGAGCCAACTCCCATGTCAGAGGATGGAAGAGAGCACATCTACCCAGTCACAGTCAGAGAAACAGGACTACACTGAAAAACAGGGCAATCTCCAACATGTATAAACAAAGGCATTGATGGCAGCATCACAGCTGATATTTCTCTACAGGATGTCTGAACTAACAAATTCTGCAGTGGGGGAATGGAGACAGAATGAAGCAGAATGATGAAAAAGGGGTCCTCCAGCAGTCTAAGCCTATAGCAGCATAACTATAGAGATTAGGGATGCATGATACCTATGGGGCCGATAAAATATCGACCGATTTGGTGAAATTTTTTATCAGCCCGATAGGTAAAATATTCCGATAAAAATAGCCGATAAATTTATTAAATTTGGTGGTATTTCATTCAGGGAGAGTAGCCCCAAAGCGGGAAAAGACCTGTGGTTTTTTCTGTATTGCAAGAAGACAATAGCATTGCAGTTTCCAACACCTGCTCTGCAAGGATTTCGAGAGGAGGAAAGAAGTCCTCAGGGTACAACACAACAAACTTTATAACACACCTAAAAAATCGTCATCGTAGCAAAGCAACATGGAAAGAATACGAAGCAGTCGCGGCAGGAGCTGGAGGTGCTAAAGCTAAAATGACAACAACAACACGGACCGCAGATGTATCCATTCAGAAGGCATTTGAAAACTGTAAGAACTTTCCAAGAGACAGTGAAAAAGCTAAAGCTATTAACGACAAAGTGATGGAATTTATAGCGCTCGATAACCAGCCTTTTTCTGTCGTCGAGAACCCGGGTTTTCGTAACTTAATAGCACATTTGGAGCCACTTTATACCATCCCTAGCCGTCGTTTCTTCTCGGACGTCTCCCTACCTGCCCTCAATGATGCTGTAGCCACAAACGTCCACAATTTGATCAATAAAAACGGACTTTATGTAAGTTTTACCAACCACATATGGAAGTCAGATGTTAGCCCCGTCAGCATGTTAAGCTTAACGGCTCAGTGGATGAATCCAGATTTTAACATGCAAAAAGCAATGCTGCATACACAGGAGTGCCCTGGGTCGCATACAGCGACAATGATAGGGCAAGCTTTTGAAACAATGCTCGCGCAGTGGAATATAAAAAAAGACCATGTGCATGTAGTGCTCAGAGATAATGCACGAAACATGATCAAGGCCACTGAGGACTGTGGGCTTGAAAGCTTGGGCTGTATAGCACACACTTTACAACTCGTGATAAATGAGGCTGTCCTGAGCCAAAGAAGCATCTCGGACTGTGTTTCCATCTGCAGGAAGATAGTTGGGCATTTCAGACACTCTCAGCTTACCACCTCCCGTCTTCAAAGCTTACAGAAACAACTAGGCTCTAAAGAGACAAGGCTTCAACAAGACGTGCCCACTAGATGGAACAGCATGTTCTACATGCTGAGAAGCATGTTGGAGCAGAAGTGGACTTTAATCGAAAACATGCTGACTATTTTAGACCCTTGTGAACAGCTGACAAAAGACATAAGTTCAGCTTCAGCTATTGCAGCTGATGTCGTCCCCTCCATTGAAGCCTTAAAACGACTGTTAAATAGGACTGTTCCAACAGATCATGGAGTTAAAACTTCAAAGAGCACCCTACTGCAAGCCATAGAGCAGCGTTTCAGCCATATCTACATAGAGTCCCTGTTTTTTACTTGCTACAATCCTGGACCCTAGATATAAGGACTGCTATTCTGACCAAGCAACAAAAGTGTTGCACCACAAGGTCAGATGTGCAACATCGTGGGAAAATGTTGAGGAGCCACAGGAGAAGAAACCCAAGGAAGATGACGACAACAACAATGTTTCCCTGCTGACAATGTATGGCAAATTATAGGTAGAAAGTGAAAATTTAATATTTTCTATTTTATTTTGAGCTTAAGATTTAAAAAAAAAAATCTCTTCAATGCCCCCATTCAGTCAGGCAAACTTTTGTTGATTTATCGCCTAATAGTTGAGGATGCACTTTTATTTACTTCATTTAATTTTTTGAACTAAGGCTGACATGCATATGTGTGTCTGAAAATTTTTTAGGAAGTTGGCATTTTTTCTTTCTCATTAGCTGTGGTTTGAGGGTGCATTTTATTTTTTGATAAAATTTTTGTAACTCAAGCTGACTATGTAAATGCATATAATTTTATCTTTGGTATAAATATTTGACTTCACAAATACCAATGCAAGCATGGATCTGTTCAGTAATTACAAGAGATGCTCTTTGTATTGTGAATTGATTTGTCTCTTTTGTTATGTAAAGCAAAAAACAATTTTTGTGTGATAGCATAAAAAAATAAACATCTGAAGAACCAAAACCTTTTGTTTGCTGTTATAGATAAGCCAAAGCTACTAAATAATTGTTTTTCATAACTGCATCCAGCATAAAAAACTGATTATGCAAAAGATATATTCAATATGAACTTGGAATCGGTATCGACCATGAAAAGCAGAAAATTATCGGTTATCGATATCGGTTGAAATTTTTCATATTGTGCATCACTAAATTAAAGTAAACTATGAAAGACGTTTCTGCACTACATTTGATTCCATTTAAAACTATTCTGTCTCGTTACTGTACTGTGACGGATGTAACTCAGTAAATTATTTAAAATAAAATGTTTGTCATATTTTGTGTTTCATGGTGATATTTTTACTCATTTAAAAATGTAAGTACAGATAGTGTGAA